ATTAGAATAAAAATAAATAAGTAAATGTGGAAAATACTCCGTTGAAGTCGATGAACTTTCGTATCACAAGCGCTGAGTTGGGTAATCGCTCATCTTTGGGATTTTTTTTACAATTTCAGTATCAAAAACACTTGAAATGGCCTGAAGCCTTCCGTCCTTTTATGGCCGGAGTAGCACAAGCCTTGTTTCTAATCGACATTGAGTCATTGATGCTTTTGAATTAATATGATGCATTTACATACGAAAATAATAATTTTTTTAAGATTAAAAATGAATAAATATGGAAAAGAATCCATTAAATTTGTTGAGCTCCCGTATCACAAGCGCCAGGGGTTCTCAGAATGACCCAAGATCGCGGTATCACCAGCGCCAATTTTCGAAGAAAAAAATGTTTCTTAAAAGAAATTGTATTAAAATTCAAGGCAAGAAGTTGTGCTGGATCAGTATCCCAAGTTTCAAGCCGAAACTCCGTCTTATCCGATCGCAAATCAGTTTTTTGTGTCTCCTGAAAAGTTGATAAAGTGGCGCTTGTGATACTTTGGCCGGAAGGTGACGATATCGTCACCTTCCAGGCAAAGTATCACAAGCGCCATGCGACGTTTAAAAAATTCCGCCGCCATTTTATTTTTTTTACAGAGAAATTGTTCAACGAAGCTGTCCGAAAATTTCACTGAATTTTCTTTGTGCTGCCGATAAAATTTAGTGAAATTCCCAAACAGATTCAACCAACGATTTCTCAGTATAAAGAAATAAAATGGCGGCGGAAATTTTTAAACGTCGCATGGCGCTTGTGATACTTTGCCTGGAAGGTGACGATATGTTAATCCGGTCAGCAATAACTTAAACCTAATGTCAGCATCTTGAACCGTTACATCATGGCGGCCGGTTAAAGTTGAAAATGGAGAAAGATTGTATCTCGGCAACCGCAGTGAACGGATTTGCTTCAAACTTAGTGTTCGTGAGTTTTTTCAGAATGCTGAACACGCATTTCATTTAAATTTTTTCGTAATACCCAGTCGTATTCATGATGGCAGCCTTTGATTGGCGGGAACCCTGTTTTTCCGATTTTCTAATACATTTTTATCAAACTTACTGTTCTTGAGTTTCGTTGGGGGTCACTGAACATTAATTTGACTCATTTTCACAGAATATTCAATCGTTTCCGAAATGACAACTTTTTATAAAAACCCGATTTCAATACCGATTTTCTGTAACTCCGAAGATATTACCTTTAAAAAGACTGAGTATTTTGAAAGATCAACACCGAAAGCGTGCTCAGCGGGCCAAAAAATCCTCGACGCCGAGTCAGAAGAAAATTCATTGGGAACCAGAAAAATGAATACCTGTACCCCGCTGTTTGATAGCGATCATCTTAAAAAGGGTCGCTATTTTGAAAAATAAGTACCAATTTCGGATATATTGCCTTCGAAAATCCCGGATACCACCAAGAATGAAGCAAATATGTTGATAGGTTGCCCCGGTGTTTCTTTTCCGCCATTTTATAATGGTTTAAAACTGGACCTCAACTTTGCACCGAAAAGTTTCTTTTTATGCCCTTCCCACAATGTATAGCTAAGTTTGGGTGGACGAAAAAAAAAAAAACAAGAAGGAAGGTTCGTGCTCCCTCCCAAGGGGGGTCTTCCCGAACTTTTGAAGGACTAAAAATTAGTTCCTTTTGACTTAAGATCATTCCGAAAGGATCGAAGACAGGTCGATATACTCGATAAATCGATGTATTCATTTTAAAAGCGTGTCTTTTTTGAAAAAGACAGTTGATAAATGTGCGTTCGTAATCCATTTGTCAAGAAAAAAAATCCTGCTCCACTCGTTTCCGGTGAAAGTAATCTAGGATAATCCGCCTAAGAGTTTACAAGTGGGAGGAAAACCCCTTACCCTAAAAAACATTGTTTTCGCTTAATTTATAGTAAAAACTGTCACGTCCCTTAACGCCAGAAATCGATTTTCTGAGTGTTGGCTGAGCCTTAAAAAAAATCGATAAAATCATTTAAATACCAGTTGCAATTATGTTAGTAACGTCTGTAAGGGCATGCGAGGGCACAACCATCATTGACATCTAAGAACTAAGTGAAGGTTTGCAAGGGTCAGGGAAAACCTTGAAAAGTTAAGGAATTTGAAAACAACCTGGAAAGTCACACCGGAAAAAAGTCGCTTAGATCTAGAGTCCAAACTCTCAAAAACATTGACAAGAAAAAATACTCTTGATTCAATCGGACTTGGCGCTCGGATCAAAAGAAAATCTGCCTAAATCTAGAGGCTCGGTTCTTCGATTCAAGGAAAAATCGAACTGAATCGAGAGTATTTTTTCTTGTCAATGTTACCAAGAGTCTGGACTCTAGATCCGAGCGACTTTTTTTCCAGTGCAGGGACTTCAACTCCTAGAAAAGGACATTCTCAGGGCTCCAGTTCAATTGGATATTTAGAGTTTCTTTCGATTGTTTTCAAAAGTGGAAGTTACTAAAAGTACAACAAGAAAATGCAGTGTTGGGATTTCTTGGTGAAATATGTCAACTCCAGATGAGAAGGGAAAAAATCCTCCACCTAGTTATGGACTCGGTCAGTTGCGAGAGAGGATTTTGATCGGGAGGCGGCGTGGCAACGCAGTGCAAAACTGGATGGATGTTCTGTAACAGTCACTTGTTGATGCCTGATGCGGATCTCCTTGGTCTTGCGCTGCGTCCTCGGTCCACGGCGGGGTCGCCGGGTATCTGTTTTTGCCCGACGAAGGAGGGTGGGGGCGCGCTGAAAGACGGGTCAAGGAGGGCAGCCAGGAGGAGCCGGACGGGTTTGCGTGGGAGTATCCGCGCAAGGTTCGCGGAGGTGGATAGGTGTTAAGGGATGGACATTAAGGTGCCCGCGGGTTGGGAGGGTCAATCCCGAGGGTGCCGAGCCAAGAGCACCGAGCAAGTAGGCGCGGGGAAAATATTGGTTTTTTTTTTCCGCCCTCCGCGCCCGATCATAATTCATATCCCTCTTTGCATCGTCTCCCGTACACCGGCTTCCGTGATGTGCCCTGTCAGTAGATGAAAACAATAGGTCGCATCGCCGAGCTGTGGGCTTTCAGAGCCAGAGGGTTTCCTTGTTGGAAGACCGCACGGAGCTGTTTTGCGTCTTTGTTCATAGCCCGGGCCTTCATTTCAGCCCACTGCGCTCGAAGAATAAGTAACCGGGGATTCGCGGAGGAAAACATCGAAATTACGACCTGAATTCAGAGAAAAATACGGACCTTACCGTGATTGTGGACATCCACGTAGATTTTAGACGCTATGTTAAGGTGATTCGTCAAGCTCAAAAGAAGTGTTCGAACTGGCATGCGATATATCGCATCTTTTAGGTCGAAAATCTCGGCAGATTTTGAATTGTCAGCAAAAAAAAGGACGATAGCCCCTGCGCATGAGCCTCAAGAATCATTCTAAACCCAAAAATCGGCCAAATTTAGAGAAATGAAAGCAGGACAGTGTTTGGAAAAAAACCTCGCATTCGATTCAGTTATCGATTTCTGTATCAAATGCGAGGTTTTTTCCCAAACACTATCCTGCTTTCATTTCTCTGAATTTTGCCGATTTTTGGGTTTAGGGTGATTCTTTAGGCTCATGCGCAGGGGCTATCGTCCTTTTTTTTTGCTGAAAATTCAAAATCTGCCGAGATTTTTGACCTAAAAGATGCTATATATCGCATGTCAGTTCGACCACTTCTTTTGAGCTTGACGACTCACCAAGCCCTGTTAAATCTTCTAAAATATTGGCTGCCATTGACGTCATCTCAACATTGCTGATCGATTTGTTATGATGTCAGCAATGAATGCAAAAAGTAAAAATTCAAAAGAGCTTCGCGCCTGCTCAACGCGCCTCTCCCAACCTTTCATGAGTTGTTGGAATTTGTTTAGCAGCCATTTTGGAAATTAGGCGAATCCATCACCTTTTACAACGAGGAACTATTAAATATTTCTGGCTCATCTATGAAACCACGTACCTGCAAATGAAAACTGATGGCCAATTCAGGATTATTTTAGAGTGTGTTGTCGTTACGAAGAGCCGAAAAACCCCAAAGGATGAGGGGTAGATAATACCTCTAAAATAAATGTTTCCAACCTTTAAATCTTGATATTTTAAATGAAATCATCAAACATGTATATTACTTAAAGATATCATGGAGATTCTTGTACATCTCTCGGCGTGACTTCAGCTTACAACTTGTACCAATGCATCTGCCTGAACCGAACACCCTCCCCATCCTTCTCTCCCCAGTTCCTGCACTGATACTCATTTAAGCTCATATTTTTTACTCTTACTGACAAATATTTGGCCTTGATTTTCCTGAAGAATAGTGGACCCAGCATTATTCTCACATCCTATAACTTACAGTTCGTGCTACTTTTTAAGTGTTTTTTCTTGTTTTTTCCCCAGTATAATGTATAGTATCAACTTAATATTTGTTTTTGTGCTTGAAAAGAGGCGTAGGCATCTACCTACGTTGTGGCATTCCCAGTTGTATATGAAACTTTTTAAAATTTTAAGTATAACCTTATGATCTCAAGTGTCTTCAGGGTGTCTACAAGTTCGGAATTTCCGGAAAGTCCGGAAATAGTACTGATTTTGAAAGCGCGGCCCGGAAGTACTGAAAATGTGCGGAAATTCCGCTCAAAGGTCCGGAATTTTTCATTTTTGTCGCAATTTGAGAGAGTATTTCAAATTTTTGAAATTTTTTGAATTTCGTCTTCAGTGGAGGTACTGAAAAAGCACTAAATTTTTCCGTTGAGGAGGTAGTGAGTTTCTCGGGAATGTACTGAAAAAGTACTGTAAAAGTACTGATTTTTGGGCAGCTTGTTTTAGTAGACACCCTGGTCTTGTAAAATTTGTAATTACAAAAATCTACTGCCACTACTTTCGTGATACCTCTCGCAATGGATAACCAGTCTATTCTTTCTTCAGACCACCCACAACCTGTTGACCTTTTCTTTATCCAATATGATGGTTTTTCAGGTTCGATATGTTCAAGTGTCGCCTGGCAGGAGCTGCAAGTATCCGAGGAGATCTTCTTCTCATTGTTTTCTCGTTATCATTTTGGGTGTTCTTCAGAAACTGAAAAGCAGTCACTCAGGGTCGACTCTAATCAAGGTCAGAATGAAACGCTTTCATACAGTCAGTTCGAGATTATATCCAAACCTGGATTTACTGGACACAAGAAGTGAAGAAGAAACGTTTCTTCAAACGGCGCTATTTCAGAGATCAGTTTCGAATTAGTGCTCCCTGCTATGCCAAGAATTGGCTTGGATAACATTGAGGGTCTCCGAACTACTGTCTTTTGGGAGGGATACTTTGTTTCTAACTTCTTTGCCACACTTTGCTCCATTTTTAAGGAATACATTACTTTCTCGTTCAGGCGAATAATGCCAGGAAACATCTTGAGAGTTCTGGTTGAAATCACTCACTACTATTATTCAGATCTAAGGTTTTTATTTATAAACGAGGAGCTTGTCAATTAAGCATTCCTTCTGTAACGTAAGATTTGTTCCTCATAAAGTCTCCCAGACTAAATTTTTGGTTGCATTTACAATCAGAATCAAATGCTTTCCTTTTTTTTGTATTAAGCTTCAAGAAGGATGTCATTTTAGTTGTTTTAAAAATATTCGACTGTAAGCTTTCTACCCTTTAAGGGGAATCTGTAACAGGAGAGAGGAAACATCCAGGTATTGAATATGTTTTGCTAATCTACTCGTTTCCCTTTGAATTTGGGAAAAAATTACCAATTGTATCTACATTGCAAACCTGAAAATTAAGCTGAACGTATGAAAACGCGAAAATTGACCGTTTGATAAAGCCGTTGACTAAGCGAATGCAATACTTCGCGTTTGTATACTTACAGCTTCATTTTAAAGTTATCAAAATGGATTCTCTAGAGAAAAGCAGCTGAAGTTTGCTCCCAGGGGTAAATTATCTATTTTTTGCCAAGAACTTCTAGTGAAACCAGTAATTTAGCCAAATATTTTTGATATCTTGAAATTTGCTCGCCGCCGTGTAGATTCACCTCAATTATTGATTTTACAAGGGATGTAGGGCGGAGGCTCCTTCCAGTACAGCGTAAGATGAAGTATAAGCTGTGTTGGTCCGCCTGCAAAATGAACGGTAGGCAAACTATTGTGCATCAAAGTAACTCGCACCATTATATTCCCTGTTTAAGCTTGAGCAAATGGTGACTCTCATTATCAGTTTGACAGGAATGCAACGTTAGAAAATGTCTCAATAACAATACGTTCTAGTTTGTAGTGTGGTCTAGGATGACTGTTGTCGATCGAAAATGGTTTTCCAAACTGTATTGGCAGCAGCTGAGAAGCTTGTCTAATGTATCTATTTTGCCCATGAAACATGTGATTCAAGTCCGTCCTTTTAATGTATATTCCTTGATAGCATAGGTGTATTGCTCATTTCTTTGTGCTCTGCTTCCAGAAGAAGAAAAAGAAAAGAAAAGAAAAGAAAAGCATATCAGTACTTTTGTGCTCGATGATCCACTCCGTCCTTTCTTCAGTTTATCCAAGCTTTTCTCAAAAGCGAATCTCATTTATTTTTAGAAGCATTTTTAAGTATCCACAAATTAGTTTTCCTCTATTATTTTATTCCTTTTTGACATTTTAAACCTTAATCTTGACGATGAATAGCAAGACATGTTGCACAATAGTCTTATCTAAAGAATTGCCTCAGTTACCATCAGAATCCTCTTCTTTTTCAGTGGCACTAAGCAAATAATTTCTTGCTGTCATCCTCTGAAATTTGCCCTTTGAAAGTTTGATTTTTAATTGTCAAATATTTAAAATCACAGTAAATGATGTGAACATGTCCTCTTATAATGAATATATTGATTTTTCAAAATTTAGAAAATTAAGTAAAATGTTAAAATGAAAATCAAAGAAAATTATGTTAAACCATCAATCTCTCACATTGACAGATAATTTATTTTTACCATCATGTGTTGACAATATCTGAATCCGTGCTGAAGAAACGGCTGTAGAATGGTAAAACCAAACCATTCCCAAATTTCATCAATCTTTTTATTCATTTTGCTTTCAATAGCAGGGAGAACAGAATGAAAAGCGATAACATCTAACATGATTACTGTTGGCTTAAAAAATATTTTTTGGGACTTTGAGTTTGAACATGTCAATTATTAGCGCACAGAAGCCACTTAAAATTTAAACCCCTTTACCCGAAAAGCACAGGTTGCATTAAATAGCAATGACATGTGACAATTTTTGCTACTGTATAAGGGTGTTGTGCATGTTGTCTATTCACTAATTGAAGGAGCTCCTCTTGACATTCATTGCAATAAAAGTGAAATAAGTTCCATTTTTTTTTTTGAAAATTGCGAACTGCCTTCTCACACATGAAATTCAATTTATTGATTTTTTAAATCGGCATGTTTTGACCAAATGTTGTTTAAAGATTTCGACTATATTTCATTAAATTACAACATGATTTTAATATTTTTGTTGCACTGTGCTACTTTGGTACTAGTGGTTTCATGTATGCTTAATGCCGTATGCAATTTTCAATTGTCTTTTACTAATTTTTTATCTTGAACAAGAACTCAGTTCTGAAAGGTAAAACTTTTCAGACTACGTGCAATTTTCCTTTTAAATAATTTTACTTAGACTTACAGCATTAATTTTACTTATTTAGCATGCAGATTTGAATCTCTAATGTGTCTCTAAACCTTGAAAGAAAAAAGAGAAAAAAATTGTGTTCACCTTTACTCCTTCTTTAAACTTTTTTCAAAATTGTGCCTCATGGGATATTTTCTTTTACACAACTCAGAATTCAGTTATTCATTGAACTAAATGTTTATTTATCCACTTATTATAAAGCCTAATTCTGTTACTACCTATCCATGATAAAATTATTGTAACCCCATGAATTGTCAGAAGATGTCTTTATAGGCAAGAGAGGAGTTGTTTTTGTACATTGATATACCTTTAGAAGAAAGCCATCGGAAGTATTTTTATTGAGCCACTTTCAATTTAATTTTTTTTTAGAAGTTTAATAATCAAGATTGAATCTCTTAATCATTTTTGGCAATAAGATTCTTCACAGAAGTTTTGAAATCTGACTGCCTAGCCTGCCATTGAATTGTATTAATACTTTCAAAGACTGTTAAGTTAGGTAAACTTTTTATGTATCCATACCATAATTTTATGCAAACAAGCACATTAAATTGTCTCATCAAGGCAGAACCATTGATATAGCTAGGGGCCCTGTTTTAAGAAAACTTTAAAATTGTCATCATAGTTTTCTATTCAAATAGTAAGGAGAATCGTATCTCAGTTACATTAAAGAAATGGCCTCCATGTTTTTGAATAACTCATTCCAAAGGTACATTAAATGTAGTTAGATTCATTGCTGAAAGTAAAAAAAATAACGAAAAATAGAGGGGAAAAAAGTAAAATACCCCGTCAAGTGCTCTTGAGTCTGTTTTTATACGCCCCTCCTTCACCGTTTTTTTGCTTGGTGTTGCTGTGAGTGATTAAAAAATGAACTGTGATTTTTTTATTTTATTTTCTTCTATTTATTTCATTTTTTTATGTATCAAAATATCGAAAAAAATCTCGAAAGAGGAACCTTTGGCTTAGGCTTCATTGAATTATGAGTGCATAGTAGGTATCTTTTTTCCATTCCAAAATACTTGCTTTTAGGGTGAATCATGCCAGGGCTGCAGTGTTTAAGTTGGTCCATTTTCTTTTCTTTTTTTTGTAACGCACCCCTGTCATTACAATATTGTTAAGTTTTTATGAGAATTATTGAATGTAATATTTTATTAAATGTATCATAATTTAAAATTCTTACCTTATTTAAAATGTATTATCATCATTTTGTTGAGTTTAGTGACGCTTTTTTTCGAGCTTCTCGCCTTTTGGCATCAATGGTTTGAAGAAATAGTTTTGTTTAAACAATATGTGCAAATTTCCAATTTTTTAAGAACAGAGTTTTCCTTGTGCCTTGTAGCCAAACGTCCAAAAGTGCATTAAAAATGAAATTATATTGCTTTTTCAATGTTTTCTAGATTTAATTGAAGTGTCGTGTAAATGTCTAATGTCTGTACATAGTCAGTGTTTCAAGCATGTTTAACTGGGTTTATTTTGTTTTTACATAAGCTCAGTATCCCTTGTTCTCAGCACTCTCAAGTAGTACACTTTGTTTTAATTTTCAGGATGGGCAAAAGGAAACCTCTACTTGTTGCAACTTTCTTAATTTTGTAGTGAGAAACTCAATTTTTCAAAACTTAAAAGATCGTCATTGTAAAACGTTCACATAATAAGGAATTGCAATTTGCCCTTTGAAACGTTCTCAGTTTTCATGCTATTTCTAGCAATGTGTCAAAATGAAGGGTTGTTGATGTAAATCGTCCACCTTTTGATAGTATTCCCCCTCTCTGAATCCCCTAATCAGATATGGCGCTCAATGTTGTGAATGACAGCTCAATCTGGAACAGCTCAACTTAAGAATTAAAAAAGTTACACCAGGTTGAGCGTTTCTTTTGCCAATCTTGGAATATTTTATGTATAGTTTATTTGTAAGAATTTATTGGAAATAAAGAATCTCATTGTGATAAGCACATATTGCCTTTAGGATTACAACCGAAGAAACATTGTGGATTCAATGAAAATTTAACATGTCAAGTTTTGATAATGTTGTTGCTTCTTCAATGCCATAGTGTGATTTTTACAAATTACTAACGCTAAGAATGAATTGTTAATGGGTACTGACTTTTTCGCACCATGATTACTTTTGAATTACATTCCTGGTTAGAATATGTATTTTAAAGATAATGAGATCTGTAGTTGAAAATTCATTATTTTGGTTTGAACTTTTACTTTAGGTAATTTTAAGGAACAAAATAAGTTTGCCTTCAAACGAACTAACCTGACAGCATTTGCATTGTGGAGGCTCTACTTTGAAATTCGTGTCAAATTTTGCTAAATGATACTTTTTAACAAGTATACTTTTTAACAAGTGTTTACTATCAATTCATTTAAACTGAAGTAAGTTTTAGGTGTTCTGTTTTAAAAATGTTTGTTTGTCCGTCCACAGATGACTTATATCAATGATATGAGCTCCGCTATGAAACATTTCACTGAACATCTCAAGGATAGCTCGTGTAAGCTTAAATGTAGATTGAAGTGGTGACTAGGCTTCCATCCTTGCTCTGTTGCTGGATGGAAAAAGGGTTTCAGAAGTAATGTGAAAATGATCTGTTATAAATATGTGTACAAAAATTTCCATTTGAGGTTCTAAAAACTAGAGTTCTGTAGAACGCTGTAAATGAAGAAACTCGTTCTTTTAAATCCTTCTGCAGTTTAATCTATTGTGCATAATCTGCCCCCCCCCCTCCCAGAAAAATCCCCCTCTACATGGGGTTTCTAGCAATCTAAGAAACCCAGAATTGTAAAGGTAAGAAAAAAAGTGATTTGGAAACATAGAAAAGTCAAGGAATTGTTGTACCGACCTAAAAAAAAAAGCATGCACACAAGATCTTTACCTACTAATCTTACAGGTTTTGTACATTTGAATTCATCACCACGGAGAGGGGAACTGTTGGGCCAATAGATATGGGCAAAAATTTAAATGAGTGCATGCTGCATCTATTTTAAGGTTATGCTTATGAGATTTTTCTGCAGGGAAAGTCAGGGGATGTTTTTCTTAAAGTTGCTGAAAACACTCTATGGTTAAGATAAAAAGCAATGTATCTCAGTTTATTGAGTATCATTAATAATGTTTAGGGATGGTCTCGTTAGCGAACCTCACTTCTGTAGTTCACAGTTGTTTGGAAAATCCACGGTGTAATTTGCTGTTGTGTATTTACTTGTTTTTTTTTTTATTGTTTCTCTTTCTCTGTTTGAATAGACCCCATCCATAACATTTTGTGATTCAAACTTCTTTTGTTTAAAACAGACTGTGTATTTTTAACTTACGTAAGATCAAAATCACCAACTCAAAAGAATATCTTGACCCTTTGATACTTAAATTATCAAGAAGGGACCATTAATCGTTGTTTCTTGGAAGATGGAACTTGTCTGCGCTGTATCAGTATTTTCAGGGACATTTTATTTTTTCATGGGAGAACTATCGCATAAATTTGACTGAAAATTTTAATGTCTTTTTTTACAAGTATGCAAAATAACCACCGGAAATTTCAGGCAAATTTACGCAACTGTTCTCTTTTAAAACATTAAAATGTCAGGAAGAAATACTTAAATAATGAAATCATGATACGTTCCTTTGAGCGAGAGATGGCGAATGACGCACACATAATTTTTAATTGATTTAATTAGTATTGTTAAAGACATCAATCTCTTCCTTCCCATAGTTGCAATCGAGTTATTGAATCTCATTATATAATACTCAATTATTGTCGGTATTGGCAACATTGTGTAATCTCATGTAGCTCATTATTTTGTTCCAGAATTTTCTCTTATGCCTCAGATTAGAAAGATTCCTCCGAGTTACAATGCAAAATTTATATCAATCTAAATACCTTAGGCTAATGTGTAATTTTCTCCACTAGTATATTAAAACATGCTAAGGTATTGCCGTGAGTGAGAGACTGCTAGTTTTTTCTTTTTTTTATCTCGGCTCACATGTTCGTTCAGTTTTCTGACATTTCTCATAAGTATTATTTTATTTTGAATTATGATCTTTCTCTTCTCATCTTTTTAGTTACACTAGGATATCATCAACTGATACAAAAATGTGCAAGCTCTGTAATTATTTTTTCTCGAAAATAGAATTACAATTTTATGTTACCTCTCTTTTTTTAAAAAACAAATTATCTTCTCAACAATTTTCGTACACGATTTTAACGATCTGATTCTTTTTGTGTCTTTTTGCAAAATTCCTGCCATTATTCATCGATATACTAGGAATATCTAGACAGTGAGAATGCCTCTACTGAATCTCATAAATTATGGATGCCAGAAAAAATCCTATCATGTTTTTGAGTACATCATCCTCTTGACTGCTCGCATAAACCTCTTTTTTTTCTTTCTTTCTTTTTTTTTTTTTTTTTTTTTTTTTTTTTTTTTTTTTTTAAACAAAACCTTGATGATGTTTAGCATTGTAATTTTTTCATGTCACAGCCATTGGCCTAAAAGCAAACTTTACTGTAGCAATCTAGTAATCACATCGAAACTCCTCAGTTTCTGAGATTCTGCCAGAGAACTTTTACTTCTCTGATAGTCCTAGTAGTACTGATTTGATGGCAGCCTTACATTAATATCTTCATGGAATTAAGTGCAATTTTATCGTGGCTAAGAGCTTGCTTTTATCAGAACAAATTTAAAGCCTGTCAAAGAGTCAAAACAGTAATCAAAATGGACAGTGCTGAAATGTTTGCCTTAGCATTAGTTTTAAAGGCTACTTGCAATTAAATATGGAATTCTGAATCCAGTATTAGGTATTGCTATAGGATAATGAATATTCAGTATGTACTTGATATTATTTTTGTTAATTACTGTACCGTCCATTGTAACTATGTTTTTCATGAAAATTTTTTTCCGAACTTTATTTTAAATTTGTACAGATTTTTAAAAAGCATACAATTTTGTACCTTTTGCAATAAAAATTACTTAACGCACACTGAATTTCTTACTTTTCCTTTTATTTTGACACTTCTTCAATGGAAATAATAAGTTATGAGTATTGTTCAGGGATTTATCGAGGATAGAGAGAGAAATATTCACTTGAGCATTATTCTCTCAGCTGAAAGACCATACGGATGAAAAAACTCCCTCAAGTCACACTTATTCAATGATATCTTTGCCGCCATCATTTATGAAGAGTGGACAATGATATTTAGCTTTATCGCGCCAAGGTGAGCCTAAGGTTTAGGTGAATTCAGTGGGGCCTTTTCTTGATTTCTACAAAGCGGCACTTGATTCTATACATTTGGGGCCTTTTCTTGATTTCTACTAAGCCACACTTGATTCTATACATTTTGGTGTCAAATATCCGTCTCAATTTCTTCATATCAGATGTATTTATCAACAAAGCAGGGCACCCTAGAGGGATTTTTTCGTGGTGTATCAGCCTATCTCTAATCAAATAGTTCTCGTTTCCTATAATTATTTTTATGAAATGGCTGTTGACGTTCCTATGAAATGAAATCACCAGCCAAGTCTCCAAGTTAGACCTCTTGAAGTTAGCATCTCAAAGATATCCATGAAGTGCTTTCAGTTGGTGCACGCAAACTGTTGCTACTTTAGTGCAACCCGCGATTGCGAACAGTCTAATTGAAGGCATTCTCCTTTTTTCTCCTATTTTAGATGGATTCTAATTGGTCTCACTTTGAGATCTTGAGTGACAGAAATTTGATAACGACAAAAAATGATTTGGGTAAATTACAATTTTTAAGTTTACTCAAACGACTTTCTGATAGATTCAGTCTCAATTGCACAGTTAGAAACCTATGTACACTCAAGACTCATTTTTGCACATAAATAACTTTCGTTTTATATAATGTAACTGACCTAAATGATATGAACTGTGAAAGAGGATGCTTCAAAATTTTCATGTTTTTTCAATTTTTAAAATCATCAGAAAGCGAAAATATTACAGGTGCTCACAGGAGCTTCGACGAAGTTTTTAAAAAAAATTGAGCTGGATCAGATTCTTTGACTCATTCCTGGGTGCACTGAGTGGACTAATTTAATCCCAAATGTCATTTCTTCATCTTATTACTTAAGTTTGAGGATTACTTCAGTCATAAGTTTGAATGTATGCTTTCAAATTAGGTAATCGAGTTTTCTTCAAAATATAAAAATGACACTTAACTTCCTCAACTGTTAACCCTTCTTCTTAATTTCTCTTAAGATTAGAACTGTGGGAAATAACAATTCAGGAGTCAATACCATTATGGAATGTACAGGTTTCTTCCTTTTTTATTCAGGTTGACCCACATTTAATAGAAAAAATGAAGAGGTATAATCTGCGGACCAAAATAACTTTTTTTCTACTATGAACTTGTTCCACCTTAAGTGCCTCCTCTAAGTTGTAGTTTCAAAAGAGGCATCCATGAAAATAAATAAGTTCAAAGCAAAAGGTTTTGCTTGAGAGAACATTCTTTCATTTTGTTGCATTAAACTTAGGTCATGTGGTATTTATGAAAGACTGATGAAATCAGTCAAAATCAAACTGATTTCATTCTCTCAACGAAAGTTGTTTAGAATGGAGAGGAGATGGATATAACTTAAATAAACAGACTGATTTATGTAACAAAATTATATATTACTTTTAAACATATCAACTGAATTTCTAGAAGATAAAAGAGAAAGAAATACATAATAATTTACAAACAACTCAATGAATTTACATGCACAACTCAGGATAAAGAACTTCTCCTCCTCAAGAAAAGAAAGGTATATTTCAGTCAGTTGCCTAAATGAAGATGATGTACAACAAATTGAAAAAAAATAAAATGAAAAATTAAGCAACAAAAGGGATTAACAATAAAGAAAAAAAATAAATGAAGGTGCCAAAAAAAAAAAAAAAAAATCTATTGGCAGCGTTGTTGTTATGTAGATTGATTGGCCTAATTCTGCCTCGCAGAAGCGTTGAGAATGAAAATATTGAATTACACTGATGATCGTTGAACAGAACATGCAAGTTATAGAAACAAAAACTTGTTTGCTCTGATTTTAACTTATAGCAGGACAGAACACCTGTTTTGAAAACTTGAATACTGACATTTTTTTCCTGAGTTGCTGACATTGGATGTCATTACATTGCATGTAATGCATGAGTATTAATTTTGAAAGAGGTGGTGATCTAATTCTTAGTTGGCAGTTATTTTGATTTTGATCATCTCAGGATTGATATTTTTATTTTACTGGAATGTGCCACAGGTAATATCTCTCATTACTGCAAAAAAACAATCCTCTCTTTCATCCCATTGATGACTGTTTTTACTTAAAGTAGAGTGAATATTGCCCAAAGGAAAACAATAACATGAGAACAATCAGTGAGGACATTCAAGAACTCGCAATTTGAAACATTGTGAAAAATGTTTGCTCTTAAAGAAAGCTTAGACCATTTGATAAAAATGATAACGATACATGAGTATCAATCGGAGTATCAGATCAGAGAGGTAACTTTGTTCACATCAAAAGGATTTCCAAGAGTTTTTGTGAATATTTTTTCAGAATAAATAAACGTTTCTTAGCATACGACCTACAATTACATTGAAAATTAATCAAATATTTCCCATTAATTACTAAAAATGTCTTTTGATTCTCATCATTCATCTTCAGACAGACAAACATTATTGAAGTAAGGATGAAAAACCTGAATTCAAAATTTAACTCAAGATAATATATGATCATCCCAGCAAAGAGGTAAAGAGATGCTTGAATTACGTTACTTGAGAGAAACAAATGTCTACATCTTATCAAAGCTTCCTGACATTACATTTCCGTTACATCACATTTAACTTATAACAAATATTATCAGAGGAAGTACAGGATGCAGGTAAAGGATATATAACTGGAGGATGATTTTACATGGTCAGAATTTTCTAATAGTATGTAAGAGCTAATGGAACAATGAACACAATTACACACTTACATACTAACGACAACTTGACATACCCTACCACAAATTTAGCTGCTTTGAGGTGTAGATAGAGTGACACAAACTGTGAGTGAAATAAAAGTGGAACTTCTCGCAAAATAGAATTCTCTAAAGTATCCCCTAGCTCATCCAGAGCGATGAGAATGAAACTTACTGAAAATTTAATGGCAGCTTGTTCACATTGATTAACACTATAATATAGCAGCATTATCGGTATTATTTTCAGGAGAATATTAAAATTCTAAGTCTATGTTTGTTCTTATCTTCAAATACAGACACATACACACTCCATTTTATTTCTTTCGATTTAATGTCTGAAAGTTTGATAAATTAAACGAATTTGCTAACTGATTTGGATGTCTGACAGCTTGATAAATTAAATGAATTTGTGAATTGATTTGGACATTAAAAAATTATGAGTAGACAGACATTCATTTTTAGTGTTATATGAAATCTAGAATAGGAGGTGTTTTGAATTTTTTTGAATAAACAGTTTATAGTAGCTAACAACAGAATGTATGTTGTAGGGGATGCCCCTTGCTCTTAACATGTGATTATCAAATCTACAGTGAATGTATTGGGCCACTAGAAATTTTCAAGGTCTTCAGAGTTATTTCTAAACATTATTTTAATGTATTTTAAACATTATTTTGATAAAATCCATCAAGTGGATGTCGTAGTGTGTTTGTTACGTTTATCGATGCAACCTGTCCTGTAGATAGGTATGAAAAAATAAAATAAATAAATAAATTTCAGGTACATCTAAAAACAACTAAGCATGGGAATGATCTTCAAAAACTTCATCATTGTTCGGCAGGCTTAGAACTAAGATAGTTATAATTTATGAATCTAGCACCTTGAGTTAATTGAGCAGCTTCGTTTGTTGCGTGACAGGCAAACAAAAGGAGATTTTGAGGCTGGACCTTCCAAGCAAACCGCATGAACACCAGTGAGTACAAACATAAGGCTAAAAAAGAGAGCATATAATGAATTAATTCCACTCGATTGCCATAAAAATATCAATTCAATAAAGACATGTACTTGAAATATGAACACTGGGTGAAATTAAAAAAAAAAAAAAAAAGAGCATGCAAAAATGTCAGTAAGGATGAAAACACACCTAGTCAGATTTTTTTCCTTTCACTTTTTTTACAATTTATTACTGATGGGTGGACACATCTACACGCATGCTGAGCCCTTGCTAGAGCCTTTAAAAAGCCTTTGATTATTTGCATACCTTTGACACCAAAAAGCTTTCCTTATACCAACTTCTTCATCAACTGATAGCTAGTTTTTGGTGTCTCCTGACAATTTTCATTTTTCCGAGCAGGTGTGTTTTCATTCTCACCAATTCAAAACCCCCATCTCTTGTTATGTACGCTATGTTACTGAGGGAGAATGAAAACTACCACGGCATAATGGATTTGTTACACAGGCATTTTTAATTGATTTAAATTGGTACTTTAAAACCCTTAACAGTTCCTCCTTTTGACTGGATGATCATTTTTATTAAAAAAAATTAAAAAAGCTTTTCTAAAATACCTATTTCCTGTCTTATCACTTTTGTCTGAAATGAAGTGTAAGAACTCTAGTGGATCAGAATGAATCTCCCGCTGAATTTTAAAAGCTGAAAGCTAGGGGTGGGGGGTGCATTTGATGGCGGCATACATTCACAAGAAAAAACAATATTATTTTAGACTTTTTCTAAGTTAAACGAGCTTCATCAATGGGTGAAACTCATGTTTGTTTGATGGATTTATGCTAGACAGAACAAAGAGCAAATAAAAAAATAAAAAGGAACCATGTAGCCTGCAAACCCTGTACACATAATGTACTTAATTCCTTTCAATCAAATTTATTTCCACATACTTCCTTTAGGCATAAGTAAATACTTCCAATTTGAGATGCAGTACTTAGTGACAAGTAATGTCTTCGCCTCCAAACTAATATGTGAAGGACATAGCAGCTTAACAGAGATTTAAGTGGAGTAGGAATATTGCTTGCGCCATACGTAAGGTAGATGCCAAGTTTCTATGAGGTTTGACCTATTGTTTCCATGTCTCATGTGCAACTTGTAATAATAACTTGTTTATTGTAAAAGTCATGGAAAAGAACATCTTACCAAAAGTCATTTTACCACTGATGAGTTTTGGATCTTTGCGAATATCTGAGATGGCAGCAATGGGAATTCCCCAGTTGGCAACTGGACCCCAAAAATGGGTACTGAAAAAAAAACAGACAAAGAACGGGTCCGATAAAGATACGTATTTTATTTGTACAATAACCTGGAATGAATACTGGTGCACCATATTTCAGATGAGTGAGCACTATTGTACTTCCATTGACTTTTTTAATGAGCAGGATAAGGAGACTTGGATTCATAAAAAAGTCATGGTCAATAATTAAATACTTCATAATATATATATCACTTACACTGTCATCTGAAGGAAACATTGACTTATAACACAATCTAGACCGCACACTAGGCCCGACTTTAGGTGGGGGAGGTAAGACAGCTAGGGGGGTAAATCAGGATGAAGACGCGCCCTCAGCTTAGTTGATACAGCCAGATATACAAAGCGTGCCAAACAACGGCATAGGCAAGACTGGCGTTTCCATTATCTCGGCACATTTTGCGATCCGGGTTGCCTATCGTCTCGCCGAAATTTCCTAATGCGCAGTCTAGATTGTATTTTACGTCAATGGCAGGAAAGCATAGTACCAACCAATAATGCTCCAAATCCTTATCACAAAATGATCTACTTCCTAAAAGAAAAGAACTTAAAACCATTATATTGTCTCATGAAAACTTAGTATTTCTATTTCTCGACATGTACATCCACTTGAAAAGTAATGCTTCATTAAACATCTTCTCAATTCTCTTCTCTCTTCCATTCAACCCCTTAAAAGATAAATTTCTTTTTGGGCAAAATGCTATACACCAACTTTATGGTACGATTCTATTGATAGGAAAGGAAATTTCTAAGTCAACATACAATTTTAATATTTGTTATGGTACTTGTTACTTCTTTTTTAACTTAGATTCATTTTTTAAATGGGCGCTGAGCCAATTGGTTGCCTGTCACTGCATCAGGTGGTGCAAACAGAGTGCTTAAATTCAACGGTGTAGCAGTGACAGCTAAGCTGTCAGCACCCTCAGAATCGTGGTGCCCCTGGCGGTCACCCGTGTCGGCCACCACTCAAGCTATGCATCTGGATACAATCACTTTAAGGTATTCGCCTCGCATACACCAAACTTTTAACAATCAAAACCAAAGCATTTCTAAATAACTGACTGAATTCCTGACACTGTAAAAGACCGTCGGATTCTCTCAGTACATTCATTGCCCCCTGGAAATTTTTGTACTTTGTTAGACCACTTAGCGGAAACTCCTAGGGCAGTTCATGGGGATTATTGGCTAAAAAGATCTTTCTATGCAAAGAATCATTGGGCCAGACTCCAGATTCATAGTGATTTCCCACTGCTAACATGCTTTGTTCATAGGACTGAATTGCGCATGGGCTTAGCAAACGTTTACACATTGAGGAAAATGCGAGTCATGAGAATTTAATTGAATGAGTGAGACCAATGTTGCACGTAATGTCAGTTAATTCAATTCATACATGCATTGTGGGTTCGAGGTCAAGAGGACTCGAGTGAGGTCAGACACTTGCTTCCATGACACTGTAAAAATTGACTGATAATAATAATAAGTATACCTGGCCAGGTAGGTTCGGAATTCTTTGCTTTTCAACTGTTCTGTCAGTTTTTTCGCCAACGCAGCCATAACTGAGGTAGGATGAGGTTGATACAGACGGATTTTCTACGAAGATAAACACGATGTGCGTAGCAGGAAGTTAAAAAATCGCAATTACAATATACTGATTGTACGTGTGAAGTTCGTTCTGCGGTCAAAATGGGGCACCATAACTGTATACTGAACTACTGATTTGCATTATTTTGCAGTGTTATGAATGGTTGGCTGTGGACCAATCTGCACGGAAAAACCCGGAGAAAGCCGAAACTCGAACTTCAGGGGGCTCGAAGTTGCGTCATCTTCTCCAAAAGTAAACAGCGTGTTTATCACTTTATCACTAGCTTATCAGCAGTGGCGTTTACTGATCTAACCTCAAATTAAAGGCTAACCTAACTATTGTTTCCAATCACAACAAAGTTCATTGTTGTGACACTGTCGGAGATTTGGAAATATTTATAGATTTGGAAATATTTATTGCCTGCAGTTTCTTTACATGTCGTTGATCTGTGCAACATTGATTACTGTAGAAAATGTCAACCTTCATAGCTCCCATTTCTCGACTTTCAAATAGTGTTATCAGAATATTGGGGTGCAATGCTGGACCGATGACACTGCAGGGAACGAACACCTATCTCCTTGGCACAGGAAAGTCGTAAGTCAGAATCACTCTCTTTATGTACATTTTTTTTTGTGTGAACAAAAGGCATAATATGGCATCCTGAAATAGAAAGACAGGGCCTTCAACTAGGTACATAATGCTATCTTGTCGCCGATTTTACAACAAGCGTTCTGATGAAAAGTGATGCCTAGGAAATAGACCCTAAGGAATCCGATTTAAGGGTTTTGGATGCTCTTGTAGCATCCACGGAATATTCAGAGGGAACTGCTCCCAAGATTGAGGGTTCCTGTCAAAGTTTTAATATCATTCCATCAGGATAATAAGGAACCAAAAATCTTGCCCTAACTTGATTTGTATTAGTGTTAAAAGGGACGGCAACCCTAAAATCAAAAATGAGATAGTATTAAAAATTGATGTGGGAAGGTATTAGAAGCAGAATGGCTCTGTCCCGAATGGAAAATTCGCAAAATTGGCAGAGATATGAGAGATTGTAAGTCTAACTGGTGATGTCATGTGCTTCCAGTGTGACTGCGGTTCACACGCGAACAACTCGAAGTCTGGCGCCGCAAAGTCGCCTTTATAGTAGCACTTGAGCAAGGAAAAAAGAGTTGGTCAGGAACGAGCGAGATCGCGGTGAACTAATAACTTGTCGGGAACTCGCGTTGGCCACTCGACACCGGAGAGAGAATGCAGAGTGCAGACTGCGAAATGCAAGACGGAGCTCATGACATCACGCGCTTAGCTGTTGTTTCGTGATAGCGGCTCAACGAATGCAGATAATTGCAAACGGATTTTGGTACTGTTGCACACTTTTCTTTGTCAATTTAGCCAAACTTGTTTTTAAGGTTGCCATCCCCTTTAACGTACCCTGAGGACTCCGAATCTCATAGTCAACAAGTTCCCTGATGTCCCTCAAGAGGCGGTCGAGAGATAGCTCTGAGAGTGCTCTCTTTTAAGATTAGGTATTTCCCTCTGGCTGCTTGGGAGCAGGAACCCTATGACTCTACCACATTGGCTAAAAGGGGATCATCTCCTTGAGGGCCGTTGAGAATGCCATCTGATGTAATTGATTATTTCATTGAAGGCGTCTGTGTATCTGTTTCGAATTAATGTCTCTACGCTCCAGCAGATGTAATAGTATCACCTTCCTAATTATTTGCACTTAACTTTTCTTTGACTTGGAGCTAGAGAATATATGGAGCTCAACTTTTCTCATTTTCCTTTTAATTTTTTAATGTTGATAAAAAATTAGGCACCTATTTTAATACCTATTTAACATTTCTGCCAATTTTATTCCTTCATTCCTCATATGGATTCATTTTAGGTAATTTCTGCATTTTTATTTCATCTTTCAGACGAATCTTGTTGGACACCGGTGAACCAAATATTCCTGAGTACATTGATATTCTTGAGAACGTGCTGCAGAATGAAGGAGCCACTCTATCAGACATTATTGTTTCCCATTGGCACAATGATCATATCGGAGGAGTGAAAGATGTTTTAAAATTAACGCAGTCTAGTGAGTGCTCAAGCCATGACCATTTTTATAAATTGCTCGGTTTAATTGTTTGAATACTTTCAAGAGAATTTGTCACTCAGATTTGGCTGGATGTACAAAGGAACTTTGTGAGTTCAAAAGTGACGAAGTTTTTCTCTTTCTCTCTCTCTCTGTTTTTTTGAAGTCTTCACAAGTCCTCACTTTTTGGAATCTAGGGGTGGCCAACTCGCGGTTGTCCGCCCTAGGCAGCAAAATTGTGAAATTGGCCTTGCTTACCTTCCAGTTTATTTTTTACTGCAAAGCATATAACTGTTGTTTTCAATATTGTTTTTTGTATTGACGAGAGGAGCATCCACTTCAATACTATTTCTAAATTTCAAGAATTCATGAATTTTGGTCCAAACTACACACATTTGAATACGTTTCTGAGTTTGTCTTGACATTATATTTTAGAGATTCTCTCAATTGAGGCATTAAGTATTCAGAAGTGAAATTGTCTCTAAGTTTGGTTTGTATGAATACTAAATACTGGGGGGGATTCCTCCACTTTCCATTTTGAGTTAGTCAGTTGTGTCGCGTGCTTCCATACACTTTCTTGAAATGGACTTTTCTTAAACTTTGAAAAATGTCTCCTTCATCATCTGTGACTCCATTTTGGTAAAAAAATTCCGAATCCAATTAAGTATTTTCTAGTATGCACCTACTTCACTTTATTTGAAATCTCTTTTCTTGCAGATTCGACTGTTTGGAAATACCCCAGGGCGAGTGATGAAATGGAGGATCTTCCAAAAGAAGTTAATTTTCAACAGCTGAAAAATCGACAGAAATTTGTGACAGAAGGTATAAGTCTTGAGGTGATCCACACTCCTGGTCATACTTCCGATCACATCATTTTATGGGCCCCGGAAAACAAAATTGTTTTCAGTGCTGACTGTATTCTCGGGGAAGGCACAGCAGTATTCGAAGATTTGCTCAGTTACTTAAACTCATTGAGACTAATTCAAACCCTATCTGCCAAAGTCATTTATCCAGGACATGGTCCAGAAGTTACGGTAATGATGTACAAATTTTGTTTGTAGTTACTGGTTCTCTGTGATCTTTAGGCGTTCCCTGCAAATGCCAAGTGGTTCAGTGAAATTTTCTGTTAGAATTGCCATGATGTTCCTCTCAAAAATACAATGTGCAAGGGGAAATTTGGTAACATTGAAATTTAGTTACATTCTTTTGTGGGGGAAACGATATTATGTGCTTTTATGAATAAGTGATGAGCCAAAAAGCAGTTCTTCACTGCAAAATTTAGTCCAACTCATATACTAGCAAAAAAAGACAATGCAATGCAATACCACATTAACTAAGAATTGAGTTGAATGATTTGTAATCAAGTCGTCAAAATTGAATTGCTTCATGAATTTCTTGCCAGCATCATATTGATCTCAAGTCATATCAGATGTCTAGGAAGTGCATGAACAAACTACTACTACTACTACTACTTCCTGTATTACTGCTCATTTTAGAAAACATTAGGGTTCCATGAAATACAAAAATTTCACTCTAATCTGTCTAAAAAGTTAGCGAAGCTCTCAGGATTTCAAAGTATCCTTGCTTATATATTGTCTCATCATATTTCTGAGTTATTCTTTAAAAATACCTGTATGGTATTTATTTCTGTATAATACTTTATTTTCTGAACAAATCGTCACTTTGCAGGATCCTGAGGAGAAAATCAAGTACTACATTGAGCACAGACTAAAAAGAGAAAATCAAATTATAGAAACACTGAAGTCAAGCCCGAATACTTTATTTACTCCACTGACTATTGTTCAATTATTATATGAGGTGAGCGTAAAACAGCTGTCATTTACCATAATGTAAGTAAAGAGGCTGTCCCAAGTTACTTTTTTAAAAAGTAACAGATCTTTGTCATTGAGGGCTAAATTTTTGTGCTGGACTAACTTCCAAAGTATCCAGAATTTGAGTTGCTGCAAATAAATACTGGTACAGGTTTTTGTTCGAAGGCTACATTTTTATGCTTGACTATGGTAATAATGAGACCAAGTGGTATCTCAAGAAATTAAAGGGAAAAAATTCTTTGCGGAAAAAGGCATTCTCATTTTACCGTATGCCCAAGTAGCACAGGTTGAAAAATTTTGGTCTTGAAGGATATTTTTTAACAAGAAGCCAGAATTTTGGATCAGATTTTCAAACTTGTGAAACTCTAGGTGATTAATGAAGCTAAAATTACAATGTCGATGCCTACTTAGCTGATTTGAGTGTAAACTAGAATTTGGGAATCTGTATTGAGAATAAAATTTCCAATTTTTAGAAATTCACAATAGCATATATGGCGCAGTGCACTCTCTCAGCCCTCATTTAGCAGATTTCTGCGTAACTTCATTGTCTGAATTCGAGGTCCAATTTTCCAAATTTAAACATCCTAGATGGCGCATTGGGCTCCATCAAGTCTCTATTTTTTCTTTTTTTGAGAGCTGAAGATGGTTACATAGGTAACTTAAATGGTCATTGTTTAAAAGATATTTGTAACAACTGAAAATAATCTGCAGAAAAAAGGTATGCTCCTGCTCAGAGAATAAATTTGATGCATCCAATATTCAGTACAACATTGAATCGTTGTCTCATCTAGTGCTGACATGCCTGCTGTCTGCTTGTTTTAAATTTAGGGACTGTTTGAGTGATTTCATTACAAAATGGTCTGATATATCATAATTTTAAGCACCATGGCTGTGGATGTCTTCATAATTTTGTGCGTTTGTGTTTCAGAATTTAGATGATGGTTTACAACAATTTGCAGCACACAATATTCGACAACACCTTGTGAAACTTCTCAAAGAGGGGAAAGTTTTTGAAGACGATGATAAGTGGCAGCTTAAAAACAATAAACTGTAGTCTTAATGCAGTTATGCTTAATGATCATGAAAGAAAGCAGTTTCTACATTTGTTTCATCCAAGCATGTCATCCATATCATGTATGGCTGTCCACAAACGCCGTGTCAGTAAAAGTTATACATATGCAATACATATATGACATGCATGAAGGTTGTGGTCTGTGCCTGAGCGAGTGAAGTTGATGAAAAATTGAGTATGTACCTATCCTGAAGTACACAGCTGAGTGTACAGTGTATAGAATACTCTAAAGTATGAGAGGGGGAAGTTTGGGTGGAACTTCCTTGTGAAATTAAAAAATTAGCTCTTCTCGGATATATTATGAATATCTCAATGTAATTTTTCAAGAAGACTTGGGCAATATTCAACCTTTTGCAGCGTAAAACAAGGCGTTTTTGGGAGTGCCTTAAAGTAGTAATTTTAGTCAAATATTTTTACATATAAGGACAAACAACAGCAAAAAATCAATGCTAGTAATTAAGTCATAAAAGGGTAAGTTGTTCGAGGAGTATGGTAATAATCGTGTTTGTCTGCTAGGGCAAGTTTTGATTTTTAGAAATTTTTTATCTTTTCATGTTTTCTTTTGTTATTTTTTGAACCTGTGATTTGATGTGCACTTCCAAAAAGGCACATATTTCTGTGTTATCATAAAAATAAATTTTTTACGATAATTTTTTATATAAAAAGTATATTTTATTTAATTTCAGCTCATGTAGCTGATTTGTCTGAAAAAAGAGGATGTAACTTATCCGTATTGCTTGCGCTCATTAGAGTCATAGGTTTATATCACAGTTAAAGTTGTGTTACTATTTCAAGCTTTAAAGTATTCAATTTTGAAATTTACCTTAGGTTGCAAAATTAAGTCGCTTGTGTAACTGCTGTGACAGACTAGAATTTAAACACGCTTAATTTTCCTCAAAAATTAAGCGTGGTTTTGTCCCCTTTTTCTGGCAATGTATCCAATTGTAGTAACAATTCACAGAGGAGTACAATTTAAAACTCTTCCATTGAGTGGAAAAAAAATGAAGGCTTACATTTGACTAGAGTGGATTATCAAGGGTAGCCAGCTGAAAAAAATATTTAGGGACTGAGGAGTAGCACATGTCTTGACACAAGACAAGAGAGAAATCACTGCCCAAACATGAGAGATTATTGTTACTTTTTTGATCTTCACAGTACTGGTGGCTAAATCACAAGACTCCTATCATTTGTTTAGACTCTTATCTGAGTACGTTACCTACGAGTTCAGAGAGCCTAACACGATGACCTGATTAGGGCAGAGTAAAGGGATCACATGATCTATTCAACCAAAGATGGGATTTCATTTCAGTTTGACCCTGCAGTACCTCTCCCTGGGCAACTTGACAAGGTATGAATTAAAGCACAGCCCAACATACTTTCTCTTCAAAATTTTACTACAAAGATGAATTACACAACGAGAAGTCTGGTAATCAGCTCCTAAACAAGATGTAAATATTCACAATTTACATTTGTTTAAATGGCAAGTATACAGGTGACTGTCTTTTTATAGTCTAATTTCCATTTCATTTGAGTCAAAAATACTTGTTAATATCTAATTCAGGAGTTAGTTTCGGAATTTCCTGTCTCGTGAAAAGTTTCCTGCATGAGATTTTGAAGAGAAAATGTGCGATTCTCTTGCTAGTTAGGAATTTGTCTGGTGGACCATTAAGATAAAGCTAATCAGCCTGTGGGTACCGATACCAAAAAGAAATAAATGCGAAAATATGAAATTAAACTTAAAGAAAATAGTAGATTTTGTCAAATATCTTAAAAACTCCTTGACTATCACTCTGAATAGAATGAACATACAATAATGAAATGGTGGAACTTCTCAAAAATTTTTTATTTCAGTAACAAAAACAAAAAAGATGTTTGCGTACCTGTAAGTATATAAAAATTTGAGGTCAAAATAAGTATGCGGCTAGGATTATCAAAGAAATAAAAGAATTAATCAGGGGCATTACAGCATTCATATGGAAACACATTTAAACTCTTAAATTTAATAAATTAAAATTTCCAAGATTTTTTGATGGACAAGCTTTTTGAACCTTTTAGTTTGTAATGAGAGAATGCGATGTAGTACAATATTTTGAGATTGTTGCATTTCATGTATGAAGCAACTTTGATGAATTGACTTTAGTCAGCTGTATAATGAGTCATCACTATTTTTTTTAAATTGCAAGTGTTATAGGCTTGTTCTATGGCGACCAATAACAAATTGAGAATTCTAAAAAACTCTTGAGTATTTTTACAATGCTTCACTGTCTGCATCCTAAAATTCTGTGGGTTTTCCATCCTGTACATGTTGGGTGAGGACTGATTTGTTACAATGGACTACCATACAAGGTACAAATTACAGCATTCTGGTACATGATCCTTGATCAAAATTTCACACAGAATTTTATTCGGGTAAAGTAAATTGCTTACATTTACTTCCAATCAAGATGTTAACGTTTTCAGTCAGCATTACTAGCAGGAAATTTGAATTGCCTGCTCACAAGGAAAGAAAACTTTGTATGAAATTGCGCAATACAACGGTGTCATAGGCTCCTTAATCAAGCAGTGTTCTTCAAAGTGTGAATGATGTGAAACAGCTGAGCCGAACCGCCAAGGTTGTCATATTATGATGCCGCAGAGACTGTTGCGGGAACATTTAATGCACGATTTGACTAGTTTTGAATTATGTTTTTTCATAAGAAGGGAGTTTGAATTTATGCATACAGAATCATTAGATGTCTTGAATAGGAATCCATTTTAGCAATTGCTTTCAACTAATTCGTGTTCTACATGAAATTTTGTTTAGCTAACAAGTATATTTTGTTTAGCTAACAAGTATCAGAATGCTTAGCTTTATATGTAAGTGGTTTTCTAGTGGTCCATTGCACGAATGACCATAGGTATATCAACTTGCAGTAATAAAAAAAGTAGCAAAATATCTTTTCTTTCTATAGTAGGTAGGCGGATCAAAAACATGGAGCTACCTCCAGTCTTAATTGAGTAGCCTACAGCTGGAATGAGGTCTCCATAAAAGAGAACATTTGCAGTTCCTGAGCACCATCTCTATAAACTCTGTTGGCACCAAAATAGAGCTTACATTTCTAGGCAGAAGCTATCAGTATAACAGCATACAAATGAAGACTGAAGAATTCATTATTGCTAGACAATCTCATGGATAAAGAAGGCGTGGCTCGTATAAGTCAGTCCAATTCAATTTGATCAAGGGATTTGGGGTTTTATGCTCTTCCATGAGGGATCCATCTGTAGTGAAATCTAGTTCTTCTTCACCCCCTGAAAGAGAAGCAAAAATAACTCATTAAAACCAATGAAGAAAACACTCTCCATCTAGAGATACTATAACTAGAATGGGCCACTCAACATGGTAGAAATTAAACTTCCATAAATATAGAGATCTCTTTACTGGGTAAAATCAGCATTTATTGACCAAATGATGTAAAAATATTGCAAGTCGATTATAAAAGAATTTTGTAGCCCGCTTTATTAAAAAATTTTTGTACCATTGTGCTTCTTGGGCCGCTCGCAAAGAAAAACTAGAATCAACATTGGCCAAAATTGTCCTTAGAATCGATCTCATCTGTTCAGCGAACAATCAGCGTTTACTTTGACAAAATTTTCCTTTTCCTCCAATTTAAGAGACTTGTGAACTTATCAAGAAAAATGTTACACGCGGAGGAAATTCTTTTATTGTAAAATAAAGATATTGAAATCACTTCAGTGATCGAATTGACCGGAGTAGATCTTAGTTGTTTTAGTGAGAGAGAGCTATCAATTACCATATAAAAAAACACTTCATTTTTTTCTACAAATGAGTCCAATTTTAAGTGGCGAATTTTTTTTTTAAACCCAATCAACAGGGGCGGATTGACAGGCGGGAATACCGGGAAAAATCCCGGTGGGCCGGTTGGTATTTTGGGCCGCTTTAAAATAAACTTATATTACTACTACTTTCTTTCTTTCTTTCTTTCTTAAAACTTAACCTTCCCCCTCAACCCTTTTGTATTTTCACTGATGTAATCTTGATTTCCATGTGAACACAGAGGTGTAAATGGCCGTAGATGCTAAAGCACCGCTTTAAAATAAACTTATCTTAACTACTACTACTACTACTACTACTACTACTACTACTACTACTACTACTACTACTACTACTACTACTACTACTACTACTACTACTACTACTACTACTACTACTACTACTACTACTAATTTCTTTCATTTTTTCTTTTTTTTATCTCCATAGTCTAAAAGTATGTGGAGAAATGGGATAAAATCTTAAAGAACTGTCACTTTCTCATAAAATAGGGTGAGGTTCCACAGGGCTGCTTTATGCTCCACAGTCGCAGCCAACTTTGCAAATATTTTGTGACTCTAATTGCGTATCTTCGCGCTTAAAAATGATTTCTTGAGGTGCTAATTTTTCAAAATTTTCCAGGGGAAGGCCCCCGGACCCCCCTTTCTCTGTGGAGTGTCCCCCTGACCCCCATTTGGTTTGTGGGCCGGTTTGGCTGTACATTTCCCGGTGACTTTTTTCGTCCCAGTCTGCCCCTGCCAATCAGTAAACCAAATGCAATGGTGTATTCTAAAAAAAAGAAAAAAAAGAAGAAAAAAAAAGTTTTCAAAGGGGGAGAGAGGAAATGTAGATCTTCCATGCTCATCAGCTAATTTAAACACGGTAAGAAGTTAAGGAGCTGTGCAATGTAAACTTGATATATGTAGAGTATGTAGGACCAATAGGAAAATTTTGTAAAAATTATCGAATGAATCTTAAAAGCTCTCATAATTAATTACTGTCTACACTGCTAAAGTACCTATGAGTCACCACCAATGCCCTCATTGCTTATAATATTGTGCTCCTTTAGAGCAAATAAAATAGCTTTAATACATTCAGTAAATAACTTACCTAAGATTTCAAATAAGATTAAAGTTCCTGGATAAGTATCCAAAACACGGGCAAGGATTAAATTAGACAGTGTAGGAGAGAGACTGGCACTTAACTTCAGGGTCTGAAAAAAAGAGAATATGTCATGAAAATATTTGTGTAAAATGAGGTTTAATGCATGGAAATCATATCATTTGAATGCATTTGAGACTTTTTTAGTGTGCGTAAAATTAATTCTAGAAATATCTGTGTACCTACACTGGGAAATCTGGCTAATTTTCATGAGCAGATTTGCCTACTTTAGCCCCTTTTCATTAGGGCCATTTTAGATTCATCATTAGCTAGCCGCAAAATTTACAATTTTGTGACCAGTCAATAAAATCTACCACCCTCTTTCCATAGGTAGTGATGATCTCTTCATTTTTACTTCTTCACAATATTTTCCTTATTAGTATAAAAAACAAGATTTAAAAGAAAAAAAACCTTCTTTTTCGAAATTTGCTCCCTTGCCTTCAAATTTTTCTGCCACGAACCATAGCTAAATCCATTCCTGATAATCTCCGTAATAAATCTGTGGGTTAACTGCTATATATTCAAACAGAGCCTTACAAGAAAGAAGCTCAAAAAAAGGACTTGCAGGAAAAAAACGATAAATCATTATAGAGCAGGAGCAATTAGGGCTTCATTTGTATACGTTAGCTCTTCAGTACATCTTTTGTTTCCTGACCACAGACATTCACACTTCTGAAATTAAAGTGAGAATGGATAAAAGTTAGTAAAGTAAGAGCAAATGGATGTGAAGCTTGGACTCCAGAAGGGAAAGACCAAAACATGCTACAGGTATTCGGATAAATAATCGTTCGAAGGATCTATAACGCAGTACTTAATGATGGATAATAAAGAAAGGAGAACTCGAAACAAAATGGAGATTGACCAAATCCTGGAACCAGATGTTGTTAGATTCATCAAGGCCAATAGAATCCAATGGGTTGATCTTGTCAGAAGAATGGAGGATAACAGAATGCCAAAAAGATGAGAAGAGGAGAACGGTGAGTGTATGAAGATGAAAGATGATTATAGATAGGAAGGCATGGCGAAAATTGTTTTAGAGGCCGCAACCCACCAGGGGGTGTAGTCATTTAAAAAAAAAGAGATAAAAGTTGAGTTACACTTGAAGTATCAAAGAATGAAGACTCACCTTGAATACTAAAATGTCATTTTTCCGAGTACTTTCAATGATAGGATAGTTGCTGATATCAATTTTTTCTAAGTTATTATCACAAATAGTCTTCTTAATATGTACAGGGCAGGGCTCTTTTTTGGAACTATCAATTTCACTCCTTTGATTTTCAGTACCAATAAAAGTTTCAGCTTCATCGTTGCTACTTGAGTTTGATACAACTTTTAATGGCAATACTGCTTCATTGGTATCTTGATAAATTATTTCCATTTGATCTTCATTGGCGTTCTTTTCACTATTTGAAGGAACAGCATCAACTTCTTCAGATGTGAGCAAAGGTTTTTCTTCATCTTGAATGTTGCGCACATCGCCTTTCAGGACTCGTTCAAACACTACTGGTTTATTCATTTTTTTCAAGTTAAGTAACTTCTTGTAAACATCATCTTCAGAATTGTGCTCAGACGGTGGGGTTAGAGGTGAAATTTGACTGCATAATCTTGAGTGTGAATTAATTTCGTGCGAGGCTAGAAAAACATTTTATAAATTAAATCAAGTTGACAGCTTCAACAGGAGTTAACAGCTCCTCAAAGAGAAGTAGTTTAAACATAAAATGTACCACAAATTGAATTAATATTTTCAGAGCTACTCTGACACCAAGTTTTAAGATTTAGTTAATTTTAGTAGCGCGAAAATTAAACTTAGTCAAAGTTATGCAAAAATATTGTTTTCTTTTCTAAAGAAGGTTTTTAAAAAGAAAGTTAAAATGATTGAAGAACCAACACATCAAAGAGAGTTTCTTTCGGATAATACGGACGAAAATTCCTTTAGAAAACCACAGCATATTTTATTGGAATTGTAATTTAAGCCCCGGGTAATGGCCTCATAATTGTTCACTTAATGAGCAAGTGTACAGAGGGCAAGAATAATTGCTGTACTAAGTAGCCCAATATTTGAAAATTTCAAGTCCCAAAAAAATCTTTCAGCAGTACAGCAGCATTGCTTCTTTTGCCACCTTAAAAATTTCATATTTTTTGAGCCAAGAAAGTTATCAACCAACAGGTTGGAATAAAATTATTATAAAATGGTCGATTTTCACTTAAAGTTAGATCTTTAGACCAGACGTTCTGTTGAATTAAAGATTCTTCAATCGTTTTTAACTTGCGAGTAGTCAAATTCTAAATGTTTATTAATGCCCAAAAAATCCCTTTTTTATTTTCAAAAAATTTCTGACGAATTATTGATTGGACTCTATAGGTATTTATTAACTTAAACAAAAGGTTTACAAGTTAATACCATCAACCTTTGACTACTTAGAGAGAGAAAAAAAATAATAGGTTAAATAAATAATCATTTAAAGTTATTCAGATAATAATACGTATTTAGACCCAAATAATATGAAATACTACAAGATAATTGGAGGAAATAAAATTTTCCGAATTGGGGCTCTTCAAAATAGCAGAGTATTATACTAAAAATTGAATAGGATCTGTGTCACGGAGAATTCAGCCATATTTTTTTATGAAGAACTCATGAAGCATAGAATTCTTTGTGAAATAACCTTATAATCTAATCAGAGGCTGTAATGCTAATATTATGAATAAAATTATGGGATTTGAATGAAATCTTTACCTGCGGTAGTTGCAATAGCATTTTGATGCGTATCGAAGTTCAAGCTGACATCTTCATGACTGTCAAACCTCTTGTGGAGACGAGGTTTGCTTTGCAACTCTTCAAAATCTTCAGTGGAGCCATTTTCTGTGGAAATTGGAGCCATATTGCTGGTATTGAAGGAGTTATCGTTTGATTTCGTTTTCCTTTTTCTATGACGGCGAGTTCTTTTCCTCTTTGCTTTGGGGCTTGAATCATCGATTACGGTATCAATGGTAGGTTCTTCAGTTTCTACTTTTGAACTAGTGCTAGTCTGAATTTGTTTTATAAGTTCTGCTACACCCGAATATCTCAGTCTATTACTTTCATTTTTCCACTTTCTTTTATTACTCCTATTAGAATCTACATGATTCAAAGAATTTGAAAGAGGATTGGCACTTTCCAAAGCAAGATTTTGTACTTCACTTTCATCATCGAATACATGTTTACTCTCACTTAGAATAGGAGTTTTCACTGAGTCTTTGATAAAATTGGAGGAAGAACTAGGAGATTCAGCCTTTTCGATTTGGTAATACTTGTTGCTAGCTTGAACAAAGTTAAGAGGTGTTGAGTGGTAGTCCATTCCACTTGCATCATCAACAGAGTTTTCTAAAACATGAAGATTTTCAGGACTTCGGTTTCGTTTTTTCTTTTTCTTCTTTTTAACTTTCTCTCCACTTGAACTTTCATCAGAATTTGTCTGGAGGGAGTGTGGTCCCGTGATTTTGTCTTTTGAGCTTGGAATTTTTTCATTTGTGCTTTTTACCTGGGCTCGACTACAATGTGGTTCTCGTTTTGATGGCGAGGAGGTATCTTCAGTTCTTTCTTTCAAGAAACTTTTCTCCTGCAGCGGAGAGCAAGGAACAACTCTAAAATGAAATTTAAGAATTCGTATTAGACAAAACAGTAATATATCTATATAAAAAATTAGGGGAAGATAATGGTATTGTTCTGTTGGAGATGAGATGGAGACGCATTCACTGAGTTCAGAAATACTACAAATCCTTAGTAGGCTGTAATGTTTTCTTCGTTTTTCATTGCTGGGCAAAAGGGAGAAAATTAAGTAAGTAATTTTTTTAAGTTACTCCAAGAAGTGTTGATTCACGAAAGTTTCTAACTGGATTAAGTTTATGCCATTGCAGTACTTAAGTAGAGCACATTTCAGATAATTACTCACAGCTCTACTTCTCCATAATATGATTTGGCTCCTACATTTATGTTTCATTCAGTTCAATGGTGACATGAAGCATTTTAACAGTGAAACTCCCTGACTCGGACTCTCATTTGCAGTATTTGAAAATCTCTGTTGATCTGTTCCCATTTCATTTCATTAGAGGAGCACAAATCAACATCATTCCTTGAAGTTGTCACAGAATATTCTCAACACGGTGAAGAAAAATCATGGAAGTTTTGAAGAAGTGACATTGGGTTAGTAGTTTTTCATTTGAAAAATTGAGTGTGTCTGGGTGTCTGCAATATCTAAGGCTGAGATACAAGGTGTGTGAGTTTCACCGTTGATTTACATTTGAACATTTCTGTGCCTCAAAGAATCTTAGATGTTAAGTACCATGAAGTTTGACATTGCTTGAAAATGACTGTAGTTGAACTGAGACCATAAAGATCATTGAATTATATGAGAGGGGCAGAAAAAATGGCTACATTTAAGTATGAAGAATGCGACCCATGTTTGCTCCATCATTTTGGTTCTTCAAAATTTTTTAAGTCATTTCTCTACCTATTGACCTTTTCCTCCTTCGATAGGTCATTTTTTCCCCCTCCCTCCTCCCCTCCCCTCATTTCAGAATTCAGTGTGGCAGCTTCTACAGCATTGTAGTAAAGTACTTACGTCACAACTTTAATTGACTGATTTAGCGGCTACATTATTCGATATAATATCAAACGTTGGTTCAAATATAAACAAACATAGAACCTTGTTTCTGATTCATGCCTATTGCGCAAAGGGTGGTAAAAGGTATCCAGGTGTTTCTTGCAATTTAAATTCTTTGCGTTTAGTGAGGCTAACCAGTCTATGACTAAATTTTAATAAATTAGTTAACTAAGGAATAATTCGTACATGAGATTACTTTAGTTCGTTTTGGTTTGAAACAAGAGTTCAATGTTATATCGAATGATGCAGTCACTGAATCAGTCTATTAAATGAATTTTTTGTAGGAACTAAGGGTTTAGTTTAGAGGATATCAATAAACCACATGATCACACTGAGCAACATATCTCAATGCTTCAGTTGGTCTAATAAAACAAAGACATGCATGCAATACTTAAGTTAGCATTTTAATTAATATTTCCTGAGGGAATAAGTAGCTATGGACTTTCCAGAATTCATCCTGTGCTCATCATGTCATCTTTTTTTCAGGATAGACCAAAGACATTGATTCACATAAACTATGCATCCTGTGTTACGGAAAGCGAGATAACTTTTAAAAATTTGCATCGCGCAACGGACCTAGCATAGATGAGTTTGTGTGTCCCAAATCCGCACATCTGCGCATGTGCAGTAGCGACTCCAGTGAATTCTTCTTGGATTGAGAGGCTTTTTTTCTCGGTTAATAATTAGTTCAGAAAAATGAAACATACCTAACCATTCGGTTGTAAAATTATATGTTCTAAAATTTTTCTTCTTAGGAATTTTATCTGAAAATAGACTCTAAAGGAGATATTTGTGAAAAACCGAGCGCGCCAATGAATTCTCCATTGCTTCCCTGCAGTCTCCTAGAGCACTTCGGACACACGCTCTCTCCCCCTCCCCGCCCGCCCGGCATGGAGTTCCGAGAAACTTGCCTCGCTTCGCCCATACTCAACTAAGCCAGACCCATGTTCTACGTGATTCAATGTCTTGGGGATAGACGTTTGGTTAAGAAACTATAAATTCAAAACCTAAAAAATGAGAAGATAAAGTAAGTAGGCTTACTCGATGGTTTCGTCTTGGCGAATAACGAACACTGTGTCTTCATCCAGCAATAGGAATCCATTGTGCATCAACTGGACATCCGATGGTAAATCAAATTTGAACGTCAGAGTTTCTTTTAGCTCCGAAATGGTATTGACTTTATCAGTGTTTATAAAATAATAGCACTTCTTTCGACGATCTGAGAAAAACTGATCCAGGAGGAGTCCAATTCGGAAACCTAAATTACAGGCCATGTTAAGCTACAGGGTCACCAAAGATGTGTAAATTTAATAGATTGCGTCAAGGTTAAAGATAAAAAATCCATTCTACAATTTTATTTCACTATGATCCGGGGGAAACTTATTGTTTTTAGCGAGTACTGAAAACACAAGAGGCGAGGCGAGGAAAACAAATTGAAAACAAAACACATAACCTGCAAACTTTTCTTGCCCTGAACCATGGAGTAAAATATAGTCGCTGGGAGAGGTGATATCATTTTTTGAAGCTGTTAGTGCTCCCGTGACCAGTGTGCGGCGACGGGCGCGGGCGATGCGAAACGCAACTAGGGCGTTTCATTTAAAAAAATTTGAAACAGCGAAATAATCATGCAAGTCAAAAAAACTTTGATTATTGTTGTCGATGAAAGTCCAACGCTTTGTTTAGTTTGGGTGCTTTAAATCAGCGTTTTTCCTGAGAGTTCACTAATTATTTCAGACGACCAGTGTGAAATTTTAAAATTCGAAAATTTAAAAAAATAAAAATAAAAAAATAAAATAATAAATTTACGAGTTTCTCCGCCGGGGAGCTCTCTCCGCTAGAAATCGTTCACCATGGGTGGTTTTTCTACGAGGATTAAAAACAAACGAGTGGTACGGAATATAACAAAAGAATATGAACTATGCAAAACGATAATCCGGGTATCGAACTTGGCTGTTTTGAAAACACCTTCAAATGCGGCGTGATACCTTACGCATTCCGGAGAGTTCAAATAGTTGTATCATTGCGCCTTAGAAATGCGACGGAAAAATTACAATTGAAATAGCCTTCATGCACGCTGGCCTTTTCGATTTCCGTTAACATTTTTGCAGTCATGAATGCGCTTAAGTGCGCTTCAACTAGAATTGTATTTAGCAAACTGGTGGTTTTTATAGGAGGATTATAATTAAACAAGTGGTTAGAAATGGAAACAAAATAATATGAACTATGCAAAACGATTATTCCGATAACGAAACTTGGCTGTTTTGAAAACGCCTTCAAATGCGACGTGATACCTTACGCATTCCGGAGAGTTCAAATAGTTGTATCATTGCGCCGTAAGAATGTGACGGAAGATTTAAATGGAAATAGCCTCCATGCACGCTGGGCGTGTCGATTTCCTCTGAAATGTTTGCAGTGGTGAATGCATAGCTGAAGTGCGCTCCAGCTAGAATTGTAAGTAGCAAATGGATGGTTTTTCTATGAGGATTAAAAATAAACGAGTGGTACAGAATTGCATTTACAAATGGGTGGTTTTTATAGGAGGATTATAAATAAACAAGTGGTTAGAAATGAAAAAAAAAATACTATGAACTATGCAAAACGATTATTCCGATAACGGAACTTGGCTTATTTGAAAACGCCTTCAAATGCGGCGTGATACCTCACGCATTCCGGAGAGTTCAAATATAGTTGTATCATTGCGCCTTAGAAATGCGACGGAAGATTTAAATGGAAATATCCTTCATGTAGGCCCGCCACATCCCATCTCGGGCCCTGGTACCAGTTTTAAGGTCCGCGCCCCAAGCACGGAGAGAGGGGGGTCCAAGGGGCATCATCCGAGAAATTTTAGAATTTATACGACTAATCGGATGCATTTTGATGCTTCCATAAAGAATTTTTCCATCAATTTCTGCGGAATAATATTGTTTTTTTTTTTTTTTTTTTTTTTTTTTTTTTTTTTTTTTTTTTTTACTTTCAGCATAAAATACTTGCGAATTGTTGCATTCAAAACATCTGGAAAATTTTATTTTTTTTTGGGGGGGGGGCATATGCGATACTATTTTCAGTTCTAAGAGGGTTAGGCCCCCCTGGACTCCCTCTTCGTTTGTCTTTGGCAAGGTAGTTGAGCCATGAGCCATTGAAGTCGAGGATGCCCAAACTGGAGACTCTCAGCATCTGACGACACAAGAAAATGAATCGCAGTTACTAAAAATATCCCTCCGTACTGAAAATCTTGAAAATATCTACTATACAGGGTGTTCCTGCGAAAAAATCTCACCGGCAGTCAGGGTTATTATCAGCTCACTTTTGCGTTTTTGCGTCTGTGTCCTAAAGATCATGAACTTTGATTTTAATTTTCCGAAGGATCAGATGAGTAAATAAAAAAAAGAAGGAATGAAAAATAAATACATAAATAAATAAACAGTTCCAACACAGAAAACTTGAGGAGCGCGCAGATATATTAAAGGTCTAAAATAGCTGAGAAGACATCGATTTTGACACTTCACTAAAAAAGAATAGACATAACTCGAATGAAAAATTTGATCATTCCGAAGGCGCCAATGTAGAATTTTAGGCCACTCTCGTCATATTGGGTTTTTGAATTTTGAAATTCTTAGAGATAGGAATACATGTATACCTATTAAATGCACCAGAGATCTAAAGCAGGCTGCAGGAGGTCCCATTCAACATTCATTTTGTTGGCAATGACAATATTTTGGGACGTCACCAAACATTTACAGCCTAATTTTGCAGGATTAAACATCACTAAATTTTATTAAAATTCACTGGTTGATCGTGAATGGCTTCTTTTGGCTCCCCTCTTGAATCCAGAGTTTTTTGCGAGCAAGGTGCAGTGATATATTTTAATGATATTTTCATTAACCCTTAGATGCTGAAGCCCGGTCAAATTGACAGGGGACTTGTTTCAAAAACTAGCCACGCGAGTTGTGAGGGACCGTGGTACATACGATCCGTAGATGTAGGTCTGTAAATATTTGTGTATTAAAAAAATAATCAAACCTCAAATTTAAAAAAGAAGAAAAAATTGAGGAACAACAAAGTCGAGACGTAATCGGGCCTAGTTTTTTAATTTTTTCTCTCGAATCTGAGCGACACCTCACTGGCAGCATAGAAAGGAGCATTGCGAGTTCACGCACAGCTTCATCGCGCCTTCAATTTTGCAGATGCAGCACGGACATCCATCATGTACGAATAGTTGTATCTCTGCGCCGTCATCAAGGCGCCTCCTTTTACTTTGCTCTATTTCCATACTGTGTTTGTTTCAGTTTGTCTTGTTTTTGTTTTTAGCGGTGCTTTAAAGACTGTATGAGCAATACGGCCGTAAATAGGAGAGCCGTAATAATCGAGCTTCGTTTCCTAACTTTTCTTGCTACTACACCTCCCTGGCAGCATAAAGCGGATATGCGGAACATCGCGCCATCGCGCCTTCAATTTTGAAGCTGCAACACAGATATCCATCAAGCACGAATAGTTATATCTCTGCGCCGTCTTTCCATTTGCTCTATTTCCATATTGTGTTAGTTTCATTTGTCTCATTTGTATAGTGGTGCTTCACGGACAACGTGAGTAACACAGCCGAAAATAGGATGTGCCCTTATCAATATCATTTTGAAAAGAAAAATAATGTTAGAGGTCTCTCAAGCGATCAAAAGGGCGCACTCCTAAAAATTGACTGTGCTACCTCCTCTGAGAAACGTATGACAGATGAGGAAGAGGGATGATAAAGCGTCTCTTTGTTACCAAAAGGGTGAAAATTTCAAAGAAAATAATTTTTTACTAAACTTAGAAATTTCATGTGTAAGTATTTTGACACTTGACAAAAGTTCGAGAGCTAGTCTGATTTCTTAATGACGCTCAGCATCCCCTTTTTGAAAACCATAATCGAGAAAATTTTTCAATGCCTCAAAACTAATTTTAAGACGGAGGCTGACCCATTTTTTGCGTAATAGCGAAATCTAAAATCTTAAAGCGTAACAGTGGAAGAATGTATACCTACACTTTATTTAATCGAATGTCTGCTAGTGAGTGAAATAATTGTTATTCATTACAGCTTGATCAACCCAGTATGTCCCAATTTTTCACGTTCTCCTCTTCAAAATATTGAGTTACGGATACAACATTGAATTCAGCAAATAAAAAAAACCAAAACATCAATTTTCCAGCATTTTTGTAGGCCCAGGCGCCTCTGCGGGGACTCATGTCCGGTTCATAGTTCCAGGACCCTCATTCACCACTATCATACGTACTAGGACCTTCCTATACTCTTACTTTTCCTATATTCTTACTCATTTATGAATTTTCCGCATTTTTTCTTGGTCATAATTTTTTCTCTCGTCTTATTTTGTTATATGTGTGGCAAAGAGGCGCGTTTTCGATGCGTCAGGGGGCGTATTTGCCAATGGCAGATTGGCCTCATGACCAGTCCGACTCTGAAAAGCCGCACAATTTGGATTCGTAAATTCTGTAAATGTTGCAATTTTATTATTCAGATAATTTTTATATTTGATATAAAATAAAATTAAACGGTAGTAAGGATACCTGAGGAAAAAAACTTTGATACGTGACTCTTTAAAGGAAAAGAGATTCCGAAAATTCCTAGAGAAAACAGAGCCACTTCAAATTTAAACACAGAGCCAGATTTTAGAAAATGATGGCGAAATTATATATACTTACGTAACCGTAACCGAGCCACACTTACGTAAGGCTCAACCCTACCCCCCTCCTCCTTCGTAAGGCACCGTAAGGCTGTTAGAGACCCCCCTCCCCCTAAGTGCCTTACGTAATTTATGGATGACCCCCATTTTTTATATGTACAAGGTGTACCAAAATTTTCTTCCACTCGGTACTCGGTGTACATTTCTAAGGCCGAGAAGAAGTATAATTTTTCAGAAGACAGCGTCTTCTGAAAAATTACTACTTCAAGGCACTTAAAAACATTTTACGTAAAAATAAGTATGTGGACATTTTCATTTACATATGTATAAGAAGCAGCTAATTATCGCAGCGTATCCGTAATGTCGTTCATCGTAATTTTAAAGTTAGTACTGATCATGAACTTAACACGCACATATAAGTAAACGAAGGCACCATTTAAGTATGTTACCTATCATACCTAATGAATCATACATCGAAATGAAAATTATGAATATCATAAAACGGACGAACGGTAAAACGAGAAGGTTTGATGGAATGGGTACAATTTGGACATCCCTATATACGGTAGCTCTAATGTACCTCAAAATATTTAAACATTTTACGTGGAAATTCTAAAAATAAAACGGATAAAACAGCTTGGTTCAAAACATACGTCATTTCGGACTTGGCGCTAAAAATTACACGGTATTCAATCATCAAACTTCCTGCGCAATTTTAATTTTTTTTATGCAGACCTGTATTATTCCATCAGTAACTCACTGACAGTTGGTACAAAGCGAATAATGGAAAACAAATTTTTTCCTCCTTCCAGCTTCCATCATTTCGATGGCTTTACGTTCCTCTGCACGAGGATAATTGAGTGTTCAAGATCATGGCATGTGTGGTGCCAGTCACTACGAGTGCTATACACATTCCATTTTTGTTATAGGATACCCGTACTTCAACTTTAGTAGTCAAGTTCAAAGTCACCAATTATTGATGTCCGTGAACGTAGCCCCCCCCCCCCATCACCACTTCCCCCAAAAATAAAATATTTACTGTCAGGAAATTGCTCACCTCTTGCTTAGGTGGAAAAACAAGTTTTTTGCAATTGCTCACCCTCCCTTCCCCTAAAGTTCGATTCGAAATTTCCCATGGACCCACAAAAATGCGCCAGCCCCCCGACATCGCTCGATCAACTTCAAACCGGTGTCAAACAATTGTTCTTGAATTGCTCAGAATTGCTCACCCACGCACCTTTCCNAAAAAAAAAATAAGGGTGCCACCTGGTACCCCTAAATATGCCAGCCCCCCGACATTTGTAGCCTTTTTTCCAAAACTGAATCCTGTGCTACTATTATGTGAGACATAGACATTTCAGAATGACGTCATCGTGGGAGGGAGCGGCCGCATCGAAAAATTTTCCTCGTGGCTTTAGAACTAGCAGAGAAAATCCCAAAGGCCCTATTGACAACAGAAGATGATATTTCGAGTTCTAATTGATAATATTGAGCTTATTGCACGGATTGGCCTGCTCACGTCTAGTTATGAAGGAACTCAGGGGGGAAGGGGGGGGGCAAACTCTCTCCCTCTCTCTCCTTGAAGCAAAGCTGACAAGACTGGCGAAGGACTTCATTAGCCATTGGGTAGATTATAATTTGAGCCCGGATCGTGCTGGGCGGACATAGAACAAATTAATTAAGGTTCACTGAAAAAAATGAGTTAGCGTCAGATGACTAAAAATGGTTTCTATACACTAACTCAAATTGTGTGATTTGGACACACATGATTTTTGGTTTCTGTACACTAACCACTATTAGTGCTGGAAACTAATTCCGCTACTCTAATTCGCATTCGGTAGGGTTGGGTCAACCTAACCTCAAAACTGAGAGAGGAGAAAACGGCTTAGCGAATNAACAAATTAATTAAGGTTCTCCCGAAGAGGGCGCCATTTTGAACGGTGCGCGAGGGCGGAGTCTGCAGGAAGGCGTGACGATGCTCTCCTATTGGTCCGCCGGCTTTATGTGTTGGCCGACGTAAGCACAAGCAATAGCGTGGCTGCTCTGTTCAGTCGCGACCGAACCACCTATTACGGGCTCCGAGCCTGCGCGGTATTTTTTTTGGAGCCGCTTTTTTTGGCATTTTCCGCGCCTTTGCGGACCAAAAATTCCACCATTTAGTATCGAATCTACCAATTTGGCATGTTATTTGTCGCTCATCTCGGTTGCGGTACTTTCCAGTCCGATCTGTGCTCTCAAGCGTTGCAGTTCTCTGTTTTTCAGCAGCGGTCCTCGGAGTGTTGTAAATTCAGTCCCTCGGCATTACGCAGTTTCGATTTAACTCGCGTTGTCATTCCATCCCAACTCGCTCAGTTGAGAAGTTTTTCTATCATTATTTCCTGTACTGAAAATGTGCTTGTCGACAAGCCGAAAAATTGTGCTGAGTTCTACTGAAGAAGGGTCTTACAAGTGCGTTTCGATTGTTGTTCGTTTGTATACAGTGTTCGTTGACAGTTCGTTAAAGCGTATTGGTATATGGCTCAAGTAGAAACTCTTTTGTAAAGTTGAACGTAGTGCCTTAGTGATCAAATCGGCCGGTTGGTTTTTCCAACGACTTAACAAGGTGAATTTCATCCCCATCGACCAGTGGATACTTCCCATCGCTAAGTTCAACAAGGATGGGATCTCTGTAGTGTTTCTTTTCGATCAAGTGTGCGTTGTTACTTAAATGTTCACCCAGTGAAAGTTCCAATGAGCCACAACCACTTAAGAAAGTGTGGATATCGATTTTGGTAGGTATATTGAAAGCTCTTATAGGTAATAATAATTAATAATAAGTACAATTAATTCAAGTGTAAAAAATACCTTCGCAAAGGAAAAAAACAAACCGGGAAAACACCCCGTACATATTGTATCAAAGTACTGAAACTTTTTAAGGATAACATTTAGAGAAATCCACCAAAAATAATCGCACAAGATTTCCCAACTTTTTTTGACATAAAAAGTAACAAAATGCGAAATTTTGAACACTAAATGAGATTCGGCAGAACACCACACGCATGTTAAGGACTGAATTTTGATAGGAAAGTAAAAAACATTGCCAGTATAATTGTAAAATTAAGAAACAAAATTGAAAAGTGCGGACTGGGACATTAAAAAATTGTTTGAGTTTTTAACAGGATTTCGATGTCTTATATTTGATCGTGAGTCCCAATCTTGGCAGCTGAATTTTATCGAGCGAAAATAATTTAAATAGAGGAACATTCCGGAATCATATCTTGACGTCCATGTGCTTTATTCGAATCTTTGTTGACCGACCTGGTGTTTCGATTGAACTGTTCGGGCAAGTGCGGATACTTGGAAACTAAACCGAACGCCAAAATCAACATCTTGTCTTGTGCGGAACTATCGGAAAACGTGCGGAAAACTACCTCGAAAAAGTGCGTCTTCCTATAAGCGGACAGTCAAAGAGTGCGAGGTCATCTTGCAGAGCGAGTCTCAGAATCCCGTGTTGCGTGCGAAATTGTTGAACACCAGCGGACATTTTTCTGGGACTAATACGTGGTGTAAATTTCGACAACTGCGAAGTGCGTCTTTTGCATGGTTCTGGACGTTATTTTGGATTCCGCGTCGGGAAATTTTGACGAAACGGGTGACGCAGTCTCAGGAAGCCGCGGCTTTTCTTGGATCTCTATGAAAATGATGGCTGCGGACAGCATCATGGATTTAACAACGAGTCGCCCTCGTATGTCCGACGGAGGAAAACCGAGGCCGGCCAAGTCCGTGTTTTCCATCCGAAGCTTGGTAGATGTTGAGGAGGACAACCAGAGTAACGGACACACGCCATCGCCAACAGGTTAGAATTACAATTCTTCTTTTCATTAGACTGCAAAATCGGAAAGAACCTTATGTACTTTGATAGCCAGAACAAGTGAGAAACGTAATTTGAAAATCTGGTAAGTACCATCAGGTGTTGCTGAGATTTTGCGACTGAGTTTCTCATATTCACGGGAAAAAAGAGGTAGGGGTTGTTGGGTGATATGGACATTTTCAATAAATTAAGTGTGGCAGTACCCCAATAAAGTAGGTTATTAACCCAAATGTTGCGGTGCTACCCAGTGGCGAGGCGTGAATGATCGATTATTTATATTTACCCATTTGAAGCTATGGTAAAGAATCGACTTTAAGGTGTTCGCTGCGAACACCCTATTAATCGATCCTTTCTCATATGTTTAAATGGTAGATCAATCGATATATCGCAGAGCACGCCACCGGTGCTCCCCCAACTTTAGTTGCGGTACCACTATAATTGACTGGAAATGTCAATATCATTCAACAAATTTGGGTGGTACCAACATTTAAGGGATATCTCCTAACGCTTTTTTCCGTGTTGAAAGGGACGACAGAAGCTTAAAAATAACAATAATTCTTATTTTGAAAATGAGACTAAAATTTAGAGAAAACTCGCTTATGAAAAGCCCACAATCTAAAGCATTTAGGCTCTTTAACAGCAAAGAAACAACATTCACACTCTTGCTAAGACCCGATGGCGCTTACCAAGTTTTGAATTCCTACGCCTCGCATAGTAAGCAACTGGTGCTGTGACTGGAAACTGGGTCCATTTCTTAAGCCCTCCCACTTTTAAATTTCCTGAAAAAAACTATTTTCTAGTTTGGCGCTATATGTTGCGCCGATTAAAGAAAATTAGGTATAGGCTGCAAAAGTAGGGGGTACAATGTTACTCAAAATTGGGTAGGCTGTAGAAACAGCAACCCATCCTTCCCACTTTTGAATTTACAATAAAGATAATGCCAATAATTTTGTGCCATTTTGCGCCACGAAATTAGGGGGATATCAGTGTTTCAAATTTAGGCGCGGGGCGGACATCGGCTACGACAAGGTCCAAATCTAAATTAGGGAGTAGGAAGCCTCTTCTCTCTTTTGGATTCGCAGAAAGAAAATAAAGTTAGATCATAGCAAGAAAACCAGGAATAGGGTTCGTAAAATGAATGAAGGTAGTCATATGTTCTGCTTAAAATTGACGGGGAAAATTAAAAATAAATCCAAATAATTAAATGGAATTGGTGAATCAATATACTCTCTCTCGCCAGGCCTCTCTACTGCGAGGTGTCTATAGGACGCAAGAAATATCCTCTAAACCCCTTTTCTCTAGCTAGAATGTGCACGGATCTTTTATTTTCCCTATTTTTGCCTATCTCTAGAGAAAAGTGACTTGATTTAAGTATGTATAATCTTGGATTTGACGCGAAGAACAATTTTCTGATGCGTCTGGCAGAGGAGATGCTCACATCAAGAACAAGAACAGAGACGCTTACCTCAAGCAGAGGTCTGCTCAATTTAAGCAGTTTTATTTTTGATAATCACCGGATAGTATTTGATCTTAAAAAAATTTAAAGAGAGCCAAACAGTTTTTTTTTTTTAAAAAAATTATGAAACACGCACCGAGTCCGCTCCTCAATCACAAAGAGTTATTTACAAGAAAGTACATGGTAGTATGCTGTCGTGCTAAGGGAAAAGGCCGTAGAAATATTCAAAAGTTGCCAAAAATCCCCGGATAAAGCATGTATTTTTCAGAAAAGTTATGAATATTTTTCCTTGAAATTTTCTGATATTTTTCAGTTACAATTCCAAAGAAAATTATCTGAAAAATTTGAAGAAAAGTGTTAACAATTTTCCGGGAAAATTTGGTTTTTTATCGAAGGAAAAATAGCAGCATCTGAAGGATCATGCACGGCGTTTTCCCTTAGCAAGGTAGTAAACTTGTTGGGTAGAGTATGTATACCCTCTCTCACCTAGGCCGTCGATTTTCCCCTCAAGGGACAGGAGGGTGAGGTTTACGCTAATCTTCTCTGACAAACTGTTCATGCGTGATGTTTGATATCGTTGACACTATATACTATAATGCATGGTTCCTATTTATGTATACGTAAGAGTTTGCTGCTGGAATGAACTTTTATTTTTGGCGTTAGTACTATAAAAAGGACGTAAAATTGTAATTTTCGAGAGAAAATAGGCACTTTTGAATTTTTCTCTAAGTTTTTTGGGGATTTCGGTGGTTGTCTAAAGACCTCTCAAATCAGAATTCTGCATATTTTTCTGCGTTTAGGTATGGATAGGGAAACAGATATCTTATTGCAATTATAATAATATGGAAATGGGCCATTAAAAATATCCAACTACTGCGCTGTATTGATGTATACCTTAATATCAAGGAAAGTATGATTTTTTTTGTTACAAATATAATAGCTATCTATTTCTATGGAGGTAGTTATAACGATTATTATTATAGAACTGCTACCTAATCTTAATACATAATAAGAGAAACTGATGAAGAAGGCAAATATTTCCATTTTTTGTTATAAATTCATTTTTTTATTTAGGAAATTCAGCTTTTCGTGACTTATGTTTTACAACGGAAACCAAGAAAATTATCTGTTTATTGTTCATATACTTTTTTAAATAACATCTGTATCTCTCATTATTAAGATAACTAAGTGTAATTAAGAGCTCGTATTGCCTATACATTGAAAATTGTAGCCGAACTATCAATGTATTGAAATCACTTCTCCATAATCGGTAAAAGGATATTCTAGGTTCCGCTCCGAATAAGCATAGCATTTACGGTGATACCACAATTCGACCACGGGGGAGCTCGTATTGCCTACACTAAAAGATGAAGGCGAACTGAAAATGCGTTACAGACACCTCTTATTCCAGTCCAAAAAAGCTGTTTTTTGGTGCGTATTCCGAGTAAGTGTGCCATTTCACGATAATGCCACCATTCGACCACGGAGGAGCTCCTGTTGCCTACACTGAAAATTGCAGGCGAACTGCCGATGCGCTAGAACAAACTCTCGACGTTTCGTGAAAGGATATTTTTAGGTATTTCGAGTAAGCGTGATATTTTACAGTAATGTGAATATGTTATCACTATTGTGGGAACTTTTGTTTGGCTTAAATATCCCATTCCGAAGTATGATCTGGGTGTGAATATAAAGTCGGACCAATTGAATGCGTTGCTGGATCGTCTTCGCGGATTTTTCTCACTCAATGAGCTGCCGAGAAAACATCATATTAATAGTTCGTTTTTTATCGGTTTTAGATCATTTTATTGAGAAAGCCATCGATCCTTCCTCATAGATTCAACGGAGGAGTTTCTTCCTTCTTGAAAATATTGTACACAAAATTGGAATAACGACGTAGCGGAAAAATCCCTCCCTCCTCGTAAACAGTTTCAAAATCAGATTTCAGTTTCACTGTCTAAACAAGGTCTTTATAAACTGTTTTCCGTACGTTTTGAGGAGTAATAAGTAGGGCTAGGGGGCTGCAAAGTTCAATCCCTAGAGGGCGCCAAGTGCCATCAAGGTCTGCTCCGCGGGCCCCCGTAAATTAATCTAAGCAGAACGGCCCATTTAGGGACCATCCCTTATTAATATTCGCAATCTGAATAGAACGGGCCCATGTAGGGACCATTGCCTATCAATAGTCGCAATCTAAATAGAACGGGCTTTTCTAGGGACCATCTCCTATTCTGCCATGCTAAGGAAAAACGCCGTATGAAACTTCAGGCGTTGCCAGATTCCCTTTGATAAAACACGAATTTCCTTGTAGATATATAAATAATTTCTCTTCCAATTTGTCGGATAATTTTGTTCGCAATTTCACCCAAAGTTCCTTAAAATGTCAAGGGAAAATATTCATAACTTGCTTCAAAGTTAAACATTTTATCGAAAGAAATTTGGCAACTCTCGAATGTTCATACGGCGTTCTTCTTTACCACGGAAGAATTGATAGCCGTAGGAAAATCATGAACATCGCCCCAGTAGATTTTTAGATCAAACTGTGACAAAAATGAACATTTACTTTTGGTTTAAATGGGAGAATCCAAAATTTCATGATTTAATGTAAAAACACCCGGGTTATATTTCAAAAATATGAATGAAGTGGGATCATCTACAGAGTATCACCTGTCGATAGCCGCAAAAATAAGGGGAATCGGCCCAGTAAGTATAGAACGAACTGTGACATTTAATGAAGGTTTGGAGGGTGAGGGTTCTTATAGTAAGATGAGTCGATGCGGGATGAGCTCAATTTTATGAGAGTGTCAATGAGGCAAAACCCTCAATTTCGGAGATATGTTGTTTCATACTTCGGTCATCGATATGCGCCATCGAAAAACTTTCAGCACGTTGAATAAGTTAGTAGAGCTCGTTCTGACAGGTGGAATTTCTAATTCCCAGAATAAGACGAGAGAGATACTCACCAACTTTCGGCATCACAATAGCAATAGGTGAAAAAATGCCCCTGTGTTGTCTAATGAATGACGTTAGCAAGAGGGAATGGTTGATTAGGAAGTTTTCTGGAGGAGATGGGGAGGGGATCTCGTTTGTGAACGAAAAAAGTAAGTATGAATGGCAACATTTGAAAGTTCGTGAAATTGGATTTATTTCAAAAACTCATGAGCACGAATTTAAAGTTTCGTGTTTTTTATTGTTATTTAATTTTTTGCCTTAGCGCGAACCAGCCTCTGAACGTATGCAACTCCCCATTGTTTCCATTAAATTTCTGGAAAATAGATTTGGAAACTTTTCGAAGTTTTTTAGTCGACGTATTTTTTCATTCTGGGAAGAGTGTGCGTCAATGATTAGATCCCCTTTTTTTCACATCATCATTAGTGGCAATTATTCGGGAAGCTCTAATCACTTTTCCTTGTTTGAGTGCTAACTTCAGCCCTGTTGAGAAACGTGTGTGCTATATCTTGTTATTTATTTATATGTATCCAGCGTCACCCGATTCAATTATGGTAATTTTTTCGTGGAACAAAAATTTTCCTCT